TATGACCTAATCACCTCCCAAAGGCCCTGCCTCTTATCACCACTACAATGGGGATGAGGATTCCATGTATGAATCTGGGGGGACAGAAACATTGAGACCATAGCAAGGAGGTGCTGAGGTGTCTGTCCTTCTCAGACCCCACTGGCTGACACAGCTCCCTTTCACCTTTGCTCCATAGCTCACTGTCTTAAACTCTGTTTTAGCACTTGTCTCTCTGGGGGATGAATGATTTGTCTTCATGTCTGTCTCTTTGAGCAGTGGAAGCAGATGAACCAGGGATGGGCTAGGCACCAAACCTTGTATACCAAGTAAAGGTGTGGACTACAGTCTAGGAGTCTAGGACCAGGGATGGGCTAGGCACCAAACCTTGTATACCAAGTAGAGGGGTGGACTACAGTCTAGGAATCTAGGACCAGGGATGGGCTAGGCACCAAATCTTGAATGCCAAGTAGAGGGGTGGACTACAGTCTAGGAGTCTAGGTGTCTCATAATAGACTTAAGATGAAAGTGAAACATCTTATAGTCATATCATTTTCAAAACGCAAAGACGAGGATTGTCTGAAGGGGTCCAAAGGTTCATTTATGGTATGTCTGGGCTTCTGTGGGAATTTGAGATTGTAATCTCCACCAATGACTCATATTTACAAATTGGGATACCTGTTGGTCTGGCAAGTGGTACACAGAACAGGATACATGGGGCATTCCTTCTTGGGTCAGCAGGAAGATCTGATAGAAAGTAATTGTATATTTTAAAAAGCATGAATTCATTGTGGAGCAGGATGCCAAGCATGGGTGGAAGAAAGGCAATTTTACAGCAGACTGTGATGCAGATTTTCTGGCCCAGGGGATGATACATGGATGTTCATCTGCCTGGAGGCCCACAATGGTGTGCTGCAGCCAGCTTATGCTGGCTTGGGAAATGTGATTGTCAAGTTTTTAGGAATTCTAATAGCCAGTTATTAAATACAGACCTTAATACACACACACACACACACACACACACACTAGTTCTTCAAGAGTCAATTGTTCAACATTTACCAACACACATCCGTTGTTTGAGGGATATTTGGCAGAAAGAGGCTGGGAAGGTGATTTGGGTTTGAGAAGCACTGTAGTTTTTGTTTGTTTGGTTTTTAGAGACCAGGTTTCACTGTGTTGCCAAGGCTGGACTTGAACTCCTGGCCTCAAGCAATCATCTTTCCTGAGCCTCCCAAGTAGCTGGGACTATAGGCATCTGGCTAAGAATCGTTTATTGATTGGCGTGGTCAGATTTGCTTGTTAAAAATTTAGAGACTATGTCTTAGTCATTTTCCTTGTGCCAACTTCCAGCCCAGGGCATAGCATGTGGTCAGGAATAACGTTTGCTAAATGGATAGATGAATGAATGATAACTTGGATCGAGCTTTTTCTCTAAGTTGTAGAAGCATGTATTCATCATTCAACAGATATTTTGAGTGCCTACTATGTGCCAGGAACTGTTCTTGGCACTGGGAACACAATCCCTGCCCTCCTAGAGCTTGCATTCTAATAGAGGAGAAAACATACAGAGCTATAAAATCTGCTTTCAGGTGGCAACCAGTCACATGAAAGAACATGAAGCAGGATAAGGGGCTGGAGACAGGGTTTCATGCTGCTTTTGTACTGGGAGCCAAGACTCAAGAGGAGAGGTGGCTCCATCTCTCCAAAGTTGTGTGTCTTCAGGAAGGCCCCTTTGGCTCTCTGAGCTGTGGAAACCAATTGTCCCCAGGTGATAGGCTGAGGTGGCCTTGGCCAAGTCTGAAACCTTGGATACACTGGCTCCCAGGTGGTGACTCAAGCTCTGTAGGCAGAATGTTGGGATTCCAGGAGCTTCTCTAAACAGGGTGCTGTTTATTGTGCCACTGGTTTCCCACATCCTTGTTTGCTATGCTGTATACCTGGGACGGGCCTGCCCTCTATCTCTGTGGAATTCTGGGATGATGCCTTTTGGCTCCCAAGCACACATTGAGGCTTTTCCACAAAAGGGGGCCTTTTCCCTAAAGGGTCTCAGCTTCTTGTTGGGGGAGCTTTGGGGTTCTGGAAACAGCTCTGACATCCACCTGCTGACTCACTCTTTCCCTCTCTGATCCGAGTCTCCACATCTGTAGAGCCAGGGAAATGAGAGGGGCTTGGTGATGATCTGATGATCTGCCACTGAATCCCCAAATCGGGGAGGTTTAGGGGCTGCCAGGGTAGGTAGAAGGGAGGCAGAGAACAGAGAAGCCCATGGCCAGCTCCTTATCCCACTTGTCCAGAAAAGTGCCTTTTTTCCCCTGATTTTTACATTCAAAGTTTGTCTGTTTTATATATTGGAATTCAACATATAATTTTGCTTGAACAAAGGGCTGGGGGTTGTTAGTATTTGTGGACTCTGGTCTTGTGATTCTCAAAGATACCTTACCTCTGAGATGCATGGATCTGCCTGGTTTGAGAAACTGAAAGGATGGTGACAAATCAAAACTTAGGGAGTTTTTAGTTGTGAAGTTTGATTCTGTATTATTCCTTTTACTTTCAACCTTTAATGGGTGTGTCCAGTAACCTGGGCTCTTGGGATATTCATTCCAAGTTGAGTTAATTTGTTTTACAGTTGTTCTTCTCTGGCCCCCAAGAAATAAATTTTAGGTATCCCGAAGGATAACTTTGTATTAACTGTGGCAGCTTATTTAACTTTTTCTCTAAAACAATGTATCTTAAGTCAATAGGAAAATGGGATGAGCTGTACAGAAATTCTCCCTGCAGGAGACTTTTTGCACATCTATAAATTTCATGAGTGAATGTGAGCAACTGACAGAAAAGCTAAGGGACTAGGGAATCTGAACATTTTCCAATGTAGGGTGTGTTAAGCAGAGTCTCGGGATATGTGTTTCAAGGTATGGAAATTGGTGACAGTGTGTCTCCCCATCTCAGTAAATGACAACCCCACCTTCCCACTGCGGAGGCCTACAACTTGGAATTGCCCTTGACTTCCCTCTTGGCTCACATATCACAACAGATCTATCAGCCAAACTGTCAGAAGTGACCTTGGAAATAGATCGAGAATTCAACTACTTCTCACTACCAACAACTGCCGGCAATGGGCCCTAGTGGCCAGTGTATTTTGCCTGGATTGTTGCCACAGCTGTCTGATGGGTCTCCCTGGTCCCTCCCTGGCCTCCCTGTAAGATGGATTAACTAATCATAGCGTCCCCCATGTAACCTGATACCTGTCCTGTTTCGCTGAGGATATGTTCTCTTAGCATGGTGCTCTGTTCGATGTCCTATGGACATGGAATAAAGTTAACAAAACTTACTGTAAGTAGGAAGTAAGAGCCATGAGATGGCTCCAGACAGGACCAAATCCAAGAAGAAGTTCATGTTTCCTAGAACATGCAAGATCATTGCCTTGAGAGGACATAAGAAAGCAAGGGCAGGGCAGGAATAGTTTCATTCCAACAGTATAGTTTCATTCCAACAGCAGGAATAGTTTCATTTCAACCACGTGAATAATGGGACATTAAGTATTATGAATCCTGTGGGACATGGATGCATTAGATGTGAAGTCATTGTCATTATCACTGTCATGATGAGAACAGGTGTGTAGTTTGACAGGTTTTGACGAATGTGCACACCAGTGTAGCTACCACTCCAATCTAGCTATAGAACATTGCCATCAGCCCAAAAGTTTCCTGTGTGCTCCTCCGCAACCCCTACCTACGCCCCCACAACGTAGACCTTCCACCCTAACCCTGGCAACCACTGATTAGACTTAAATTACTTTGTCTGCCCTTCATTGGTTCTAATATTCAGCTGAGAACAGCAGCAGGGCACTTGTATGAAGGTCTGGCTATAGAGGTAGATTGCCTTAGTCTACCCTGGTCTGCACAGCCGTTACCTTGCTAATGACCTCCTTGCACCTCAGTTTCCTAATCCATCAAATGGGGATAATAATCATACCTACTTCACTAGGATTTTGTTAGGAATAAATAGCACCTGGTACTTAGCCCAACAGATGTCAGCTATTGTTATTGTTTATGGAGTATGCATTATGTGTTGGGCATTGTGCTGAGTACTGCGTAAGGATGTGGCAGTTGCTCCCTGTGCCCCCTCCACACCCCAACTGGTGCTCACCATTTCCACACACACCAGTAGCTTCTTACTGCCTCTGATATGGTCTGCGGGAGCGTTGTCTCTGGCTGCAGGAGCGTGCTCAGTCTGCACATAAGGATGCCGGAAGTGCTGAAAGTTAATGCTCCCAGTATCAGCCCTCAACCAACGATGGCCAGGAGTTGGCAGATAAATGCTCCAACTTCCTTGCCTCCAGTTGAGACAACTCTAAGGCATGATTTGCCCTTTCCCCAGGGTGCCCCATCAGAATTGAGCTTCAGGTGTCCATAGTGGTAACCTTCTCGTGGGACACACACTGAAGCATGGTCTGCCCTGTCCCCAGGGTTCCCCATCAGAATTGAGATCCAGGTGTTCACAGTGGTGACCTTCTCATGGGACACTCTCTGGATTGGCTTCCTTCTGTTTCACTTCCCCACTGTCCTTCCAGAACCTCCTGGGATCCCCTATCAAGTAAACTATTTTCATTCTCATCTTTATCTCTAAGACAACAGTGTATTTCACTTCATTCTCAAACAGTCCTATGAGGTGGACCAAAATAACTTCTTCATTTTATAGTTGAGCAAAATGACGCTTAGAAAGGTGACACCACCTGCTTAAAGTCAACGCCTTAGGCACACACCTGCTCCACTGCTGCCCTGAGAACGAGCCGGGGCAGGCCCTGCCGCAGACCTCCTTCCCCCTCTCCCCCGAGCCCTGGGCCTCCTTCCCACTCTGCCCCGAGCCCTGGGCCTCCTTCCCCCTCTGCCCCGAGCCCTGGGCCTCCTTCCCCCTCTGCCCCCAGCCCTGGGCCTCCTTCCTCCTCTGCCCTGAGCCCTGGGCCTCCTTCCCCCTCTGCCCTGAGCCCCACTGAGCCTCTGAGCATGCATCTCCTCCTGCAGGAAGGCCGCTGCTTGTTTATCATCCTGCTCATGGCGGTGTACTGGTGCACAGAGGCCCTGCCGCTCTCAGTGACAGCGCTGCTGCCCATCGTCCTCTTCCCCTTCATGGGCATCTTGCCCTCCAACAAGGTCTGCCCCCAGTACTTCCTCGACACCAACTTCCTCTTCCTCAGTGGCCTGATCATGGCCAGCGCCATTGAGGAGTGGAATCTGCACCGGCGAATCGCCCTCAAGATCCTGATGCTTGTTGGAGTCCAGCCGGCCAGGTAAGAACAGGTAACAGTCCAGCCCTACAGCGGAGAGGCAGAGGGACCACACCTCTGGAGCCTATACCTGCTCTTCTTGGTTTACTCGTCCAGGCCAAGAAATCATCGGTTCACACCATTTATTTATTTATTTATTTATTTATTTATTTATTTATTTCTCAGCTATTTAGCAAGCACCCGCTGCATGCTAGACACAGCACTAGGCCCATCATGGGAAGCTGTTCTCAAAGGTACAGAAGAACCACCTGGGGAGATGAGACAGTGACCCCCCAGGCCCCACCCCCAGGGATTCCAGTCCCATAGCTTTGGAGGGGGCCACACTGGCAGTTTGACCCCGACTGCTCAGGGTTGAATCCCAGATGACCTGCTCTGAAAAATGACTTAACCTCTGTCTGCCCGTGAAATAGTGATGTACTGGCACCCCCCTCATAGAGTTTAGTGAGGATTAGATGAGCGAATGCAGGTAAATCCCCTACACCTGAGCAGATAATGCTGGCTGTTAGCATTCTTGTTTGCTATTTACCTGCCTAGGTGATGAAGATCAGGTGGGAGCTGAAGGTCGAGGGGATGCAGAGGATATGGGAAGATGGACTGGAAGGGAAGGGGAGTCAGGATCACAATCCTAGAGAGCCTCAGGCCCTCTGGGTAGGATTTGGACTTTTATTCTTAGAGGATTGGGTGGCCTTTAAAATAGGGGTGTTATTTTCATCTTATTTTTTGTTCCATGAACCCCTTTGGCAATTTGGTGAATCTTAAGGATCTTCCCAGAATAATGTTTTTTAAATGTATAAAGCACAACAGAGTTTGAAACAACAACTACAGAAAAATGCAATTATCTAATTTTTTTTGTAAACACAGACACCTGCGCCCTGGTACAGGTAGGTACCGTTTTATTAACACAGCAACCGGCAAGACCGAGCGATGGGCCTGATCACAGCCATAATGCTGAACAGCTTTGAGTGTTGATATTTCAAGATGTCTGCAGGTATTATAATGTCATTTTAAAATATCAGGGATCTTGCCAGGCGCAGTGGCTCCCGCCTGTAATCCCAGCACTTTGGGAGGCTGAGGCAAGTGGATTGCTTGAGGCCAGGAGTTCGAGACCAGTCTGACCAACATGGCAAACCCCCATCTCTACCAAAAATACAAAAAAATTCATTGGGCATGGTGGCGCATGCCTGTGATCCCAGCTACTCAGAAAGCTGAGGTGAGCGGATCGCTTGACCCCAGGAGGCGGAGGTTGCAGTGAGCCAAGATCACGCTACTGTACTCCAGCCTCAGTGACAGTGAGACCCTGTCTCAAAAAAGAAAAGAGAGAGAGAAAGAAAGAGAGAAAGAGAGAGAGAAAAGAAAGAAAGACAGAGACAGAGAAAATGTCAGGGATTTTTTTTTTGGGGTGACAGAGCCTCAGGCACTGCTCATACACCTGAACTTTGTTGACTGTTTATCACTGATGGAAATGCTTAATTTGATTAGATGTTAGCAAAATGAAGATACACATTTTCCCCCAATCCAGTTCTGAATTATATCCATAGACTTATAGTTATAAATCTGTTCTTTTAAGGGTTATAAGCTGAGGAGTGACATGGCCAGATTTGCATATTTTTTTTCAAATACATCTCATTTCCTTCAGATTTGCATTTTTTAAAAGATTCCTCTTAGTTGCCTTGTAGAGATCAGATAGGAGAGTACCAGAATGAGAAGCTGATACATCCCAGTTAGAAGGCCATTTAGAGTGTCCCGACAAGAGACAGTAGCCGCTTGGACTAGGAGGTGGCAGTGGAGATGAACAGATTGGATAGATTTGAGAGCAATTTGGGTGATAAAATTGACACAGAGGAGAGCGTAGGAAGAAAAGGTTCTGGATGACTCCTAGGTTTCTAGCATCATCTCTGTGCCAACTGCTCTGCTAGGCTCTGTAGCTGCGCCTCCTCCTAGAGGATCTGCCAGTCCTGTGGGACAGACTCCATCTATGGAACTGATTCCAATGCCAAGCGGAATTTGATCTCCAAGGGGCACACCATGGTGTGAGAGCCTGCATGAGAGGTAGGGGGATAGCGGGGAGCTTCCTGGAGGAAGTCACATTTGAGCTTAACTTTGAAGAATGAGCAGGGCCACTCTTAAATATATTCTAAAGTTACAGTAACTAAAACAGTAAGACACAAGTCTGAAAACAGATTTTTGAAACAGAATAAATCTAAAGGAAATCCAGATCTGAAGGAAGGATTATCCAATAAATGGTGGGAGTTGGGATAATTGGTTTATTCTATTAAAAAATGGATTTACATCTTACTTTGTATTATGCATCTAAGTAAATTCCAGGTGGATTCAGAGTTCAATATAAAGAGAAAAAATCCTGAGACTTAAATTCTGTTGGTGGGAATGGACCAAGCAAAGGCAGGGAGGCAGAGGAGTAAAGGCGTTGGGTGCTGGTAAGAAGTTCAGCAGAGTCTCAGCAGGGTAAGAATGGGAGGGGAAAAGGGGGAGGAAGCTGGGAAGGCCATGAGGGAAAGATAGTGGAGTGTCTTGGTGCCCTGGCAACTTTTTTCTGAAATGGCTGTCATTGAGGATTTGGGGGCAAGAAAGAGAAAACGTCAGGCTTGAGTTATCTTTATAACCTGGGTACCTGTGGACAGTTCACTTAAACACATTGAACCACAGTTTTCTTAGATCTAAAATAAACCTGGTGAGTGGATTTGGTTTCTGCTTTGAGTCTCAAGTTTCCATCTGTAAAATGGATGGATTGGATTCCTCAGGGATGGCAAACTGGGACCAGAGGCTCTCCTGGGCCCTGGGCTCTGGATTTGTCTCTAATGCCATCTGCTCTGCAGGCTCATCCTGGGGATGATGGTGACCACCTCGTTCCTGTCCATGTGGCTGAGCAACACTGCTTCCACTGCCATGATGCTTCCCATTGCCAATGCCATCCTGAAAAGTCTCTTTGGTGAGAAGGAGGTTCGAAAGGACCCCGGCCAGGAGAGTGAAGAGAATACAGGTGAGGCTGTGCAAAGGAATTGGGGCCAACTCCACCAGGATTTGGAAGTGGGAATGGGATGTCCAAAGGATGTCAGGGAAGGCCAAGGGCATGCACACTTATTGAGCACCTGCTATGTATCAGGTGTTTTAATTATGACCATGACTGATAATTAGATAAGAAATCATGGTACCTTGGTTTTTTAAAATTTGCTTTTATTAAGCACATACTGTATACTGAGCAGTGAGTTGACCTCTTTACATACATTATCTCCCTTAACTCTCAGAACAGCTCTATGAAGTAGGTACTGTAATTAAACCTTGTTTTACAGCATCCAAAGAGATGCTCAGCATCACCAGTATTCAGAGAAATGCAAATTGAAACAAGGACATTTTAATCAATGAGACAGGCAGAAATAAGAAAGCTGGTGAATCCCCATGTTGGCAGGAATGGGGGCCACAGGAACTCTCGTGTGCTGCTAGAAAGAGTGTGGACTGGGTTAGAGTTTCTTAAGGATCTTGTGCAAGGATTTAATCACATTAAATGTGTTTATACTCTGTAACCCAGCAGTTTTGCTCCCAGACACCAAAGAAATCCTCTCTTAGGTCCAGGAGGGAACACACATAGTGATATTCACTGTAGCGCTCTCTGTGGTGTGGGGATTGGTGGCTACCTGGGCTTTATCGCTAGGCATGTAGCGATACAGGCAAAGGCAAAAATGGTGGGTACATGCCATTGAGCATTATGCTGCTTTTAAAAGAGAGAAGAATTAGTGAGCCATACACTTCTATAAATGGATCTCACAGAGTAGTTATGATTTTGGGTAAAAACCAGAATGAGATCTAGAATACACCCTCCATATGTAAGCTGAAAATACACATGAACGACAAAACATTGTGTAAGAAATGTATAATGAAAAGCTACACATTAAACATATCAGAATGGTTGCTATGGAAAGGGTGAGAGTGGGAAATGGGGAGAGAAAGGACTAAAAAGACCCAATCAATTATAGAAAATAGAGGCTTTGTGCAGTAAATAGTGATAACGTATTATGAACAGAGGGATTTGATTCCCTCAATCCTCTGAACTTGTGTTCTTAACAAAACAAAACGTACCCAGCCATTGTATTTTTAGATGACTATATTCAGGCTCCAAGGGGGAAATGATTTTCCCAAATCACATAGTGAAGTTAAAGAAGTCCAGGATCACTTCAGAGGCACAATGATGTCATGACTTTTCATTGGCGACTCTGTGGTTCCCCTGGTCTTATGGTTGCAAAGTGGCTGCCACATCGTGTCACTTTAAAATGTCTTACTTTTAATTTATATAACTGTATTTTAAAAGGAAGATTTGAATTGATACATATGTGGGCAGAAATGGCTAGTTGAACCCCAGCATCGATTCTTCCTTTGTGCTTTTAGGAATAGAACCCAATACTTTCCTCTCTGAGGAAAGGCTGAAACTACCAGCTCCCCTTGTGATAAGACTTGGTCAGGTAACTGAGTCTGGTCAATGGAATGTGAGTGGAAGTGATATGTGCAACTTCCGGGTTCTGCCCTTTCTGCCAGGCGGAATGTGAATATGACCCAAAGACCCATCCCCAGGATGACCCGAGACCCAAAGACAGGAGCCACATCTTGAGAGATAGATGGCAGATCTGCCCCTGTGGCTTTGGATCATTTACCTCAGTGAACACAACAAGCATTATCCATGAAACCATAGGTTTTGTGTGCTAGTTCTAGTTTTTAAAATATGAAATAAATTAAATATATATCTGTTAAAACTTAAATGTTTATCCATGTACCATCTAAGTTAATCTCACTGACAGTCACATGAGTATTTCCCTGTCATACACTAAGGGGTCCTGCTTATTTTATTTTCACGGCAAGCCCTGAACACTAGAAATGATTATATGTGCTTTACAGGTGAAGTTCGGAGAGGTGAGATGATGTGTTCAGGATCATAGCATTGGCAAAGTGGCAGAGTCAGCTCTACGCAAGGGTGGGGTCTTCCATGAGGAAGGGAAGAGAAGCTTTATAGCATGAATTAACAAATTCTGTCTACAAATGACCAAATAATAAATACTGCAGGCTTTGTGGGCCCCTCTGTGCAACTACTCAACACTGCCCTTGCAGTGAGAAAGCAGCCACAGATAAAACAAACGAGCAGGTGTGGCAGTGTGCCAATAAAATTGTATTTATGGGTGCTGAAATGAAAATTTCGTATAATTTTCATAACAGGAAATATTCTTCTATAGATTTTGTTCAACCATTTCAAAATGTAAAAGCCATTCCTAGTTGGCAGGCCACACAAAAACAGGCGGCGGGCTGGACTGGGTCTGCATATTTTGGTCACTGACCCCAGCTGTACAATATTGGCTTTCTTGACTTTCAAACTGTTTCCCTTAAGAGAACTGCCTGATGGTCACCCTGGGGTGGCAGCAAGCACCTGGGACTCTGCCCTTTCCCCCATTTCAACCCTAGTTAGACTCAGTTTATTCATTTTGTACACTGGGCTTCTAAGCAATGATAACCAACGTTTACTGTGCACTTAGTTTATGTGCGGACTCTTAGGTGGGCCTTATATCTGAATGAGATGGAACAAGCATCGACCTCATTTAGAGAAATGGAAATTGAGGAAGGAATTAAAAAGAGTCCCCCCACCCCCTGTTACCCAGTTTCCAAACAGTGGCTCTGGTATTTTGAATCCAGGCTGGCCGACTTCAGAGCCTGCATTCTCAGGCTCCATTATTCTGCCTCCCACATGAGACTTTTTACTAAGTGGCGAAGCAAATGATTGAAAGCCAAGTCCCTCATTATGAGAATGAAAAATCTGAGACTCACAAAGGGGAAGGGACTTGCCCAAGGCCACACACAGTGGTGGCCATGCAGTGAAGTCCAGAGTCTTTTCCCATGCTGCAGGATGTCAGGAGGGAGGCGACCCTGGGGGTTGGGATAGATACCTGCCTTTACAGGCCATGGGATCAGGGAGAAGGAATTGGTTAATGATCAGCCTCTAAGACCTAAAACAAGGCTAATTCCAGTGCAAAGAGAGCTACTCCCTTTCATCCAGTTCTGAGCTTTGACCAGGTGGCAGGAGGCGAGGACAGGGGTGGAGGGAGTGGAGATTCTGCCAGTGGGCTAGGAGAGGCACAAGGAAGTTCCTAGGAGCTATAGGTTCATGAGGGACATCTGTAGCACCAGCAGCAACCATAATCATCATGTGAGCTGAGCTCTCATTTTCTGAGCAACGACCACATGCCAGATACTGTGCTAATTTTTTTATACTCATTAGCTCATCTGATCTTCATAATTGTACTGGGAGGTAATGATGCCCATTTTATAGATGAGGAAACTGAGGTGCAGAGAAGCAAAATGATTTGCCCAAAGTAACATGGTGATTTGCTGAGCTCTGTCTGAATCCAGAATCTGTGCTTATAAGCACCTTGCCATGGTGCCTGGTACAGAGGAGGCGGAACCTAGGGCAGGGTGGGTCTATCTGGATAAGACTCCAGAGGTCCTCAGACTTGGAGGACAGCCCCGTTGCATTTCTCCAGTTCTGTGCCCTGCACTATCTGGGGGACCCAAGGGCCATGTGAGCAATGGCTTTGCCAATGGCCCTCTGCATGCACGCTCTCATTAGGTCCTCCACCACAGCCCTGTGGGGAGGCGCTATTAGCATGCCCATTTTACAGAGGAGGAAACTGAAGCTCACAGCCATGATTGGCCCAATGTCCCTTGGCCAGTAAGGGACCCACCTGGATTTTGTTTTTGTTTTTTAGAGACAGGGTCTTCCTCTGTCTCCTAGGCTGGAGTGCAGTGGTGCAATCAGCTCGCTGCAGCCTCAAACTCGCGGGCTCAAGTGATCCTCTAGCCTTGGCCTCCCAGAGCACTGGGATTACAGGCATGAACCACTACGTCTGGCCCTCCACCTGGCTTTTGAATCTAAACTCTTTCCCCTCCTTTTTTTCTGTCCATAGAAAGCTAGCTTGCCATCTACATCTTTCTTTTATAGGAAGGCCCAGGATACCACCCTTCACAACACAAGGGTCTTTAATGTTGGGTGAAGCGTTGTCTTCATCCATAAACTAACCCACCTTCTGCAACTTTCCTCATCTATAAAACAAGGACGCTGCCTCTTACGTGAGAAACAAGAGCCAGGTACATAGGAAGTGGTTAATATATGGCAGTTGTATTAAAAACTACCTATGAGACTTCCAGGCATTGGAGGCACAGGTAATAAGACCTTCTACCTTGATGCACCTTGGCATTTCCCCTCCTACTTGAGCAGGATTGATTTGCTTCCTGGTTTACAATCTGTCTCCTCCATAGACTCCAAGCTCCGTGAAGGGCCTATCAATCTTTCTCATTGTCGTGAATCTTCACTGATACAGTCTTGTGCACCTAAGACACTGTTGGTACATAGTAGATGTTCAGTAAATGTGTAAAATTAATGAATACACAAATAGACCATTGAACTAACTGTTCTATGCCTCAGTTTCCTCAAACCTAAAACAGGGATAATAATCCTCACTACCTAGGCTGGCATGAGTGCTAAATGAATAAATGAACATAAGCCTGCTTCACTTGGTGGCTTTTGACCTTCCCTGGAGTGCTGTTTACCTAATTTGACACAAGAACTCTTTCCTAAGGGCACTCTTCGTGTCAAACTTTAAGAACATCTTAGTCATACCAGGGAGGCTAGACTAGAGTTATCAGTTTCACGTCAGACCTGCTAAGTGCCAGGTGGGTGCCTTGGAAATGGACCAAGGTTCAGGGGGTGGGAGATCCAAAGTTCTGGGTATAATGCTGACTCTGCCACTGACCCATTGGGTCCTCTTGATCCCAACTTTAGCCCATCTCTCTGGGCCTCAGTTTCCCCAGTTGTCAAGAGGAAGGTAATAAACTTTGCATAGCTCTCTAAGGCTGCTTGGAGACAGCTGTAAGATCATAAATGTGAAAGTTCTGTCCCCTGGCCTGACACAAACTCAAGGGTTGGTATGATGTGAATAGGACCCTACA